CCCCCAGCCATTCTTGCCCCCCCCCCCCCCTCCCCCCAGCCATTAACTCCCCTGGCCATGAACCCCACCCAGCCATGGGGGTCAGCAGAGTATCCCTCTGCTCCTCTGCAGAAGCAGCTGCTCCTCGTCCCTCCTCAGCATGTGCAGCTTGTTAAATCCAGCTGCAATTGTCTCCTGCCTCGCCTGTACTTCCCTCTGGAGAAGGAAAAGCTGAGAGCAAACAGGCACCCGAGAAGTAGAGGAGATCCGATCTGTGGGAGGAGTGGGAGGATAGTTACTTCCTTGGGAAATGCACCAGAAAGTTCCTGCCAGGGACCGGTCAGTTGCTGCCCCAGAAACAAGGAGTCCAGACTCCTGGTTCTCTGAACCCTAGAGGGTTTGTTTTAGCTCGGAGTTCACAGAGAGCTCCATAGTGGAGAAACTGAGGGCACAGAGGTGATGTGCAGGGGGCTGCATAGGGTGTCTGGGGGGGGATTTGGGTGTCCAGGGCCAGGCGCATACCCACTCATGGGAGCCATCACAGCAGAATGCGGGTGATGCTTGTTCTTTGACAACCTGCTCCCACTGGTGAGAATTTGTCCCAGGGGAGAGGCTGGAGGTGAGTCTCCACCACCAGAGCAGGGCCAGGAAGCAGCTGTGCTGAGACCGCCCCCCTGCCGGAGACACGGCCTGATCTTGCCGGCACCAGGCCTTTGTCACGGGACAAGTGTCCAGAGCAGATTTGCAGCCTCGTCCGGGAGCTTCGCACCTTCAAACCTCTGGGGCCCTGCCGGGGGAAGAGCTCAGCCAGAGAAACCCAGACACCCACCTGCAACTCCATGGTCTTCGTCTTCTCTTCAGACGTCAGTGCCAGGCCCTTCGCCAGCGCCTTCCTCAGCAGGACCAGGGCTCCTGGAGTTTCTCCTGCTGGGCAGCGGGTGACACACAGCCATCACCTGCCTGTCGGGCGGGGGCGAGCGCCATGCCCAGCAGCCTCCAGCAGGAACACAGCGACCCACCGCTCGGCCTGGCCACCCCACAGGCACCGTGGGAGCAGAGATCCCGGCTCCGCGCAGGGCCCTGCCTCCCGCAGCCACTCGGGGAAACGGCCGGGAGGCCCCTGAATGGTCCCTCCAGCCAGTGAGAGGAAGGAGTCAGGGCAGGAATGTGGCTGCTCCACACCCCAGGCCCAGGACAGCTCCCCTCCCTGCAGGCCCAGCCCTGCCTCTTCCCACCCCTGCTCTGCCCTCACTGCACCCTTTCCCCTAAGCCCTGCCCAGCTCCGCCCTGCCCCTCCCATCCCATCCATCTGCCCGGCAGCGTTATTCCGGAATAACGGACGTTACTCTGAGATCACACGGCCTGCATCTACACACAAGC